CAATTAGGGATTTAATTTATAACTATTATAAATGTCATTATGTATAAAATCAGTTATTATCATTAAGTAGTTATGGATTGAAATTGGACAAATTCTAGTTGAATAAGTGAGGAATATAAGAATGATGTTAAAAAATTTATAAAGTTTGCTAAATGGTACCAAGTTCTAGATAATAAGGGAAGAATTTTTTATACATGTGTTAACTGTTTGAATGAGAGACAATTACAAGTTGAATTGATATGAGAGTGATGGTTTCTTATGAAATTATATAACTTAGACTTAGCATGGTAAATTACTAAACATTTCATGTATGTCCAAATATCAATATTTTAATATGAATGTCGATGATCAATTGGAGGATATAATTCGTGAGGTTGGACAAGAATATTTTCAACAAACACATGTGTATGAAACTTTGAAAATTGTTCCAGAGATGTCTTTATATCTAGGTTGTACATATTTTACACGTTTATCAGTAGTATTACGATTAATAAATATTAAGGCAAGAAATGAGTGGACTAATAAAAGTTTTACTAAATTGCTTAAATTTTTGAATGAAATGTTACAGAAGGTAATACACTATCCACCCGTCACTATGAGGCCAAGAAAATCTTGTGTCCAATGAATTTAGAGTATAAAAAAATGCATGTTTATTCTAATGAGTGCATATTATACAGAAAAGAGTTTGAAGCATTACATAATTGTCCAAGGTGTGGAGTTTCACGCTACAAGGTGAAAAAATGATGATTGTTATGATGTCAACACAAAAAAGGGTCATACTGCAGAGTAGTGTGGTATCTTCCAATTATTCCAAAATTTAAGTGTTTATTTGCTAATATTAAATATTCATTGAACTTTACATGGATGCTAATGGTAGAAAATCTGATGGATTGTTACACTATTATTGTTGATTCATCACAATGGAAGAAATTTGACTCTTTATTTTTGGAGTTTGGAAATGATCCAAGAAACCTTAGACTTGGTCTTACAACATATGAAATGAATCCCTATAGTAGCTTAAGTAGCAAACATTGTTCTTGACATGTTTTGTTTATCATTTATAACTTACCTTACTGGTTGTGCATGAAACAAAAATATATGATGATATCATGACTAGGACAAGCAGGAAATGACATAAATGTATACCTTGCTACATTGGTAGAAGACTTACAACTGTTATGGGAAGGATAACATAATGTCTTTGATACATATCATAAGGAGAATTTTATGTTGCGTATTTTGTTATTTTGTACCATTAACGACTTTATATCATATGAAAATCTAAGTGGTTATTGTGTTACATGATATTAGGTATCAACAACATTATAATGTATTGATGAAGTTTATTGGAGTTTCATAAAGTTTATATCAAGTTCCATATGTTATGCTATGGGATGCAACACTTTTGTGTGTGGATAATAATAATGTACTTTTATACATAACCATACATAACACATTTAAAATAATACAAGATAATCAAAGGTTGAACATTGCAATCATACACTTATGGTTGATGCATGTATATTCTAACTCTAAATTTCATTCCACTTATTTAATATAAAATGATACATTATTTGATATTTATGTTAATAATATATGTCTCGTCAATCAATTAATTGTGAATATGAGAAATGTTAATTTGTATGGTTTCTTTGAACCTCAAGCCACAAAAATCTAGAAATAAAAAATGGTTGTGGATTCAAGGTACCTGGAAGACCATTTATATGGCTTCACATTACATATTTAATATATTAATATATTATTACTAATCAATATCTTATTTAGATCTCAATAGAAATTGATGGTATTCATTTTGATGAACAATACTGGTATATGATTATATTCAATGCATAAAAAATCCATTGCAAACTTCAAAACTTTAATACAAAGTATCATTTTAAATACCTCTTTTGTATTTTATTAAAGTATCATAAATTATTAATTACTAATATTTTATTTTATATAGTTTTATGATTGTGTGCAATATTTTAGACTATGGATTTATCCTAAGGTATATAATTCTATATTAAAATTATTCACAACATGTTTTATAGTTTGTATAACTAAATTTTAATAATTGACATATTAGTGTTAAGCAATAAGAAAATTATAAGTATGAATACTACGTTATACATTAGACGTGGACTATAACTCATGTGTATATTATGGATTCATAAGAATAGGTAATAATTACTTTAAACTATTTATCTATTATGTGATTTCAAATATAATACTTAGAGTATATTTATTATAGATTTACGTCGCCCTTAAAGAAATTAAACGAGAGTGGACAAAGAAATTTTTAATCAACAGGGAGAGTGGTGGATTAGTATAATATTATGAACTAGTGTAGTTTTCATAGAGTAATTATAGCATAATTATTAGTATTTTTATATTTTTCATATATGACACTACATATGAATTGTATTTTACGGTATATGAATTGTTTAGCTATTTGTTTCCAAAATTTGAATTTACAGGTTTAGAATGATAATTAGCAAATGTAACCTAAATAAAAAATACCTTATACTATATCGATTTTGATTATAATCGATGTAATATCTCACCATTTTTCATTGGAATGTATTTTACATTGGTTCTTTAAGGAATCGATTTTATATATCACTTTTTTACATTGATTTTATAATCAATATAAAAAATGATATTTTCTACATTGGTATTTATGTTAAATATCTAAAATAATTGATGTTAAATATGTTCCCTACATTAGTAAAAAAATACCTCCCCACTATTTTTTAATAATTGTCATAAAAAGATTTCGTTGTAATCATGTTTTATAATAATCACTCTAACCTTTATAATCCTGTTTGTATATATCAGATTTTCTCTTTCTTTAATCTGCATCTCACGGAATGCCTATAGTTTGAATAATTGTTGAAACAATACACAAATCCAATAATGGATATAATTTTGTACTTATATAAAGACTAAGGTTTCAAGGAGAAAGTGAAGAAAATTACACGAGAATATACAACTAATTCATCCTATTAAGCGCTCGAATATTAACAAAGAGAAAAAAAAAATTACAAGATGATACTTATAACATTTATTGTGCTTCTGAAAAATACTTATATTCATAATCATATATCGGTTCTATTGATTATTTGCGTGAAAAAATAAATTTAAGTATATAAAGATTTGATAAATATATATATATATATATATATATATATATATAACAGTATTTTATATAAAGAATATCAATATCAAAGGATATAATATGATATTTCTCTTTTATTTGAATTAGAAATCGATACATTATTTGTAAATGATCTAATTTTAATTAAACTGGAACAAAACCGATAAAATTGGTTAGGATTTTGGGTTAAAAAAATTTTGACAAAAGAAAATTAGGATTAATTTTTTAATATAATTTTTTTATAAAAATAATATAATATATTTTATTTTATTTTATTTATTTTTATTTAATATTAGTTATATCAACTTTAATAATAGTTACTTTATTATATGTTTATTTTATTTTAATAATTATTCATCCTACACCCTCTAATATATTTTATATTTACCATTTTATTGTAATTTATGAATATTAGGATAGTAATTTTTTTTATTTTTCTTTTTTCTTAAATTATTATCAATAACTTATTATACATTTGTTATATTATAAAAATATTATTTTATTAAATTCAATTAAATCTTTAAATCTTAAATTTATGTCTTCATCTTCAATTTAATGATCGACTTGATTTTAAAAACATTATCTACCACAATATTAATGTCAAAAAAAGTTTTTAGTGTTCACACAAAGTATGTCACTAACATACTAATTTTCAATTTATGCTTCATATATCATTAGTCTAAAAGAAGTTTCACTTATATATATTAAATTATTTTCTTATTAAAACCTTTTCCTTTTATTATCATTCCTCTAGCTGAGAAAGTTAGAAAAATCAGGACAAAAAAGACATTTCATGAAGAAGATAAGGAAAGAAAAATGAGGAAATACATTTTTATATCATTGTCTCTTACAGCGAGATTGAACATGTTAATGAGAGATTTACGATCAAAGGAAACACTTATCATATGAGAAAAAAAAAAAAAAGGAAAAGGAGAAGAAGAGCGAATTGTAGTGGCCGAAGAAAAAAAGGAAGAGAGAACAGATGAAAATAAAAATTAAGAATACAGAGGTGAAATAACTTAAAATATAACAAGGCATATGTCTATTTATAATTGTGATTGTATCTTACACAAATCTTTCATAATGCGCATATCATAATGATTATAAATCAACCATCATTAAAATGTTTAAATTAACATTATTTTTCTTTCCACACAATTTATATAAAATTATTATTAAAAAATATGGTCTTTTATATATTTTGTATTATTATTGTTATTATTATATATTAATTTAGAAAATAAAATAACTAAATACTTAATTAAAGGTACAAAATTGTAAAATTATATATTAATGAAATAGAGATCAAAAGTAAATTTAAACCATGTTGATTAAATGTATTTCTTATTTCAAGATAACTTAATAAAAGGCAACACAATAGGATTATCACATTTTCTCTCTTTCTCCGCATCTCCCATATACAAATTTATTTTATTTATAATACCTACTGAACAAATTCATATTATTATCCACGTGATAGCTATTATACTTAAAATTATTCTTTCATATTATAAATCCTATAAGAATATAACATAAATGAATAAGAAAAATGTTAAATTATAATTTCTCAATACATTCTTTAATATTCATTGTTTAAAATTTGTTAAAATTTATAAAATTTGAAATATCTTAATTTTTTTTATCCAGTTAATTTTCAACCATATAATTTCGAATAAGTATTGATTAAATAAAATGTGAATTAAAAACTATAAAAAGATTCTTTGATGCCTTTATATTTTAAGCAAAAATATTTTTTTTGTCATTTATATTGTGAGAGAACCATCGTCCTATTTTAAAATGTTAAAATAGTTTGTCCATTTATAATAATAGTCTTAAAAAGTTGTCTTACAATATCTTACGTGTCGCAATACGAGTTTTAAGGCCTGGAAAAGAACAGAACAGCATGCATGAATACGATGAGATCAGGACCATTTCGAGGAAAATCGAAATGGGTAAAAAATTACAGCATTGGATGACATCCCTCCCGACAAATAATACCTCTAGATCTTGTATCTTTCATTAGAAAACATAAAATGATGACAGTATTAATGACATCTCTTGCAGTACAACAGTGAAGTAATTGTTCAACTATGGTTTTTCATAATAGTGATAATATATATTTTGCAGTGGCGATATCAATGGTGCAGAATTAATCATTTGAATTTTATAAAAATGGGAAGAAATAATTGTTACCCCTTCTTAAATTTACACTGAGATAACCTTGGAATGTTCTAGTAATTTTCACAAATGGCCATATCAACTATGTAAATTTCACAAATGCCAAAGCTACGTGGAAGCTGCATGGCGGTGCCTCGTACCCATAAATAGCTTATAATTCTTCTTCTTTCTTCAGAAACACAATAGCAAATAACTCAAGCAGCCATGGATACCGCAAGTCCAGCTCCTCTCCACATAGCAATTTTCCCATGGTTTGCTATGGGCCACCTAACCCCGAATCTTCACCTCGCCAACAAATTAGCACAGAGAGGCCACAGAATCTCCTTTATAGTCCCACAAAGAACACAAACCAAACTTCAACACCTCAATCATCAACCTCATCTCATCACCTTTATTCCTATCAAAGTTCCTCATGTTGATGGCCTTCCTCACCATGCTGAGACCACTTCCGACGTCCCCATCTCTTTGTTCCCTCTTATTGCCACCGCTATGGATCACACACAGAAGGACATCGAACTTCTCCTCAGGGATCTGAAGCCACAAATTGTTTTATTCGATTTCCAACATTGGCTACCCAATTTGACCCGGAGCCTAGGCATCAAGAGTGTCATGCACTTCGTTGTTTATCCATTATCATCAGCATACCTTGGAGACGGACCAAGACGAAGCCAAGGAAGAGAATTGACTGAACATGATCTAATGGAACCGCCTGAGGGATTCCCTGATACATTTATCAAGTTGAAGCCATTTGAACTTCGGCTCCTCGTTGCAATAAGGAAAGTCGAGTTTGGAAATGGTGTTCTTCTGTACGATAGGGTATACAATAGTTTTTGCTCGGCAGATGCAATTGGATTCAAAGGTTGCAAAGAAATTGATGGGTCATATGCGGAGTATCTTGAAACTGTGTATGGGAAGCCTGTTTTGCTTTCAGGGCCTCTTTTACCTGAGCCATCAAACTCTACTCTGGATGAAAAATGGGTTGCATGGCTTGGAGGATTCAACCCTGGTTCTGTTGTTTTCTGTACATATGGAAGCGAAAGCCCGTTACCACAAAATCAGTTTCAAGAGTTGTTGCTTGGTCTTGAACTAACAGGTTTTCCATTTATTGCAGCATTTAAGCCCCCTGATGGATTTGAGTCTAATGAAGAAGCTCTGCCTGAAGGGTTCAGAGAAAGGATTAAAGGAAGAGGTATTGTATATGGAGGTTGGGTGCCACAACAACTGATACTGGGACACCCTTCAATTGGTTGCTTCATAACACACTGCGGAGTTGGTTCCTTAACAGAGGCATTTATAAATAGGTGTCAGTTGGTGCTGCTGCCAGGTATCGGTGGAGGTCATATCCTCGTCGCGAAAATGCTGAGTAGAAAATTGAAGGTTGGGGTGGAAGTGGAGAAAGGTGAAGAAGACGGTTTGTTCACAAAAGAAAGTGTATGCAAAGCTGTGAAAACTGTGATGGATGATGAGAATGAGGTTGGAAGAGAAGTGAGAGAAAATCATGACAAACTGAGGACCTTCTTACTAAGCAACAATTTAGAGTCGTCATGTATCGATCGTTTCTGTCAACAACTGCAAGATTTATTATAATTTTGGAGCTTTAATGTTCAAGCAATTAGTTTATCCACTGTTTACTTATGAATATGTTCAACCAATATTTTGCATTTAATGAATTTAGTTCGCCTTTTTTTTTTCTACTTTAACTTGTGTGACCATATCCAATATTCTAAGTGTTGCCTTCATTTTCCTGACCCATACTTCATTTTATTTTACTTCCACAAATAATAGCATTAAATGATATCTGACAAATGAAAAAATATTAATACCACAATAAAGGGTTGGGCCTGTTTGTTTTATATATCATTTGCTGGTCGATACATGATTAGGATAGTCATAGGCTGAAAACTGATGATTTTGAAAACTACATTCTTAATATATAATAATAATATTAATATTATCTAAAATGGTTTTATTGTTATTATATTTTAAAATGGGGTTGTTAATTTGTTGTATGCTACACATCCAAATTGTTCAACATACCATTTTCCATGGAGAAATTTTATTTTGACACGCATTCTTAAAATCATTCATTCTATAATTTCTAATTTAAATACGCATCTTAAAATAATATTATTTTTTTATTATATTTTTTAATATTATTTATTATTATATTATTTTTGAATTGTTGATTGAGTGTATGAGGTTGCCAATATATCATCTCTTTCATTAGTTTCTGTGGTCAAGGTTGTTTATAAATAAGGGTATGAAAGTGATCGGGTTGGGTCATGGTTAACTTGAAAATAAGTAAGTTAAATTAATTAAATACAATTTTATTAATTTATTTTTATTGACAATAATATTATTAAAATATTAAAAGATTAATTAATTATATATTTTTGCATTTAAATAATTTTCTTAATTTTAGTAAAAATATATTTTCATAAAATTATGGATGAATGATTAAAAGTACATAGATGAATTTAAAAATCTAAAAATATAAATCTTTTAATAAAATATAATTTAATTTTGTATTATATTATTTGAATTTTAATACACTTTTAATAAAATTAACTTTAATATTTTTTTATTAAATTTTAATCTAATATTTTTAATTAGAAAAATAAGATAGAGTAGAATTGGAGAGAGAAAAACAAAAGATAATAAAAATGAGAAAGGAAAAACAAGGAGTAGATAAAAAACAATAAGAAGTTAGCAAGGGGAGAGAAAAAAAACTAGCTGCTTAACGTCAGAGAATTTTAATTCCAAGAATGGAATTCTGTGTACGAAAATAAATTGATAATATTTTTTAAATATTTTTTTTAAAATATATTATTTATGTGATTCCAAATACAAAATAATATTATATCGAAGATGGTAATTTGGGTTGGTAAATTTGTGAGTTTAAAACCTTAGCCATCCCTATATAAGTGACGACTTAGGGTTATACAAATCCGTTCACATTATAATTAAAAGAAATCATCCAATTTGTCATATTATTTTTCTAATTCATAAAAATCAAAATATAATAAGAATATCTCTCAAAAAGAAAATTTATAATTTTTAATATGGTATTAAAGTTTCTCTTACGATGATGTTGGAATATGAAAAATTAGGGAAGTGTGATGAAAAAATCTTTTTTGAGATAACGAGATGTTATGAAGTCCCAAATGGACTAAAAATACAATAATTTTTATAATATATAGGTGAATATAATCCTCACCGCATTAAACTGATTTTATAAAATTAAAATATGTATTTTAATATGATATTAGAGTTTACTCTTACGATGATGTTGGAATATGAAAAATTGGGGGTGTGTGATGAAAAAATCTTTCTTGAGATAACGAGATGTTATGAAGTCCCAATTTGATTAGAAATACGATAATTTTTATAATATATAGGTGAATATAATCTTCACCACACTAAACTGATTTTATAAAATTAAAATATGTATTTTAATATGGTATTATAGTTTACTCTTACGATGATGTTGGAATATGAAAAATTGGGGGTGTGTGATGAAAAAATCTTTCTTGAGATAACGAGATGTTATGAAATTCCAAATTGACTAGAAATACGATAATTTTTATAATACATAGGTGAATATAATCCTCATCGCACTAAACTGATTTTATAGAATTAAAATATGTATTTCATAATTTTCAACATAGTATTAGAGCATTTTCTAGCAATGATGTTGAGACATGAAAAAAATCAGGAGTGTGATGAAAAATATTTCTTGAAATGAGGTTTGATGTCTTATCGACTAGAAATATGATGCAATTATAATTTATAGATGAGTATAATCCTCGTCTCATCATTTTTAACATGAAAAACTATTTTATCACTTTGAAGTAATATAATCTATGAATTTTTTATAATTTACTTAATTAGTAAATTTTAAAAACATTTTCTCATTCTAGTGAAAAAAATTAAAGATAATAAAACAAGTCAATTCACAATGTCATGTCTATAGTCCACAAAAAATGAGACGGGATAAATTACCTCATCATAGTTAGGACAAATTATAAATCATAATTCATCGTGTCAAAGAGCATGTTAATGGGCTAGTAGGTCAATCCACCTATCTATATATATATATATATATATATATATATATATATATATATATATATATATATATATATATATATATTAAATATATATTTAATTATATAGAATAATTTTTAAATTTTTATTCATTAATTAATATTTTATTAAAATATTTGTATATTAAAATAACTACCTATAATTAATAATTTAAACTTAAATAGTTAATATTTATAATTTAAATTATAGAATTATATTTTATGACAATATATATATATATATATATATATATATATTTAATTTTAATATATAAATATTTTTTTTAAATAATTTATTCCGTCAATATGTTTTGTGCCACTCTTATCTGGTTGAATTGGACAAATTAAGTAAAATAGATTAAAATGGATTAACATACTCAAAATTATTTTATTCTTAAAAAAAAAAAACTATTTGTGGAAGATATAATAATGTATCAAGGAGATTATACTCGATTGTTCATAGTCAGGACAAAAAGTCACAATTATATAAGGAAATCTTTCAAAAATATTTTGTTTTCCTTTTTCCAATATAATTAACTATTGTATTTTTTTTCCTAATATTATGAAGTTCAAGGATACTCAAATATTAAAAAAATTGATTTTTTTTTGAAATACATTTATGAAAACATTTAAAAATGGTAAAACTGTTTGAAGTTGCATACACATTTTTATATTTAATATATATTTCAATAGAAATAATTCATACGAATTTTATCTTACCTTGAAAAACATGATATATGTATATATTATAATTCATAATTTTTAAACAATTTATTATATTTATCGAGTGAAAAATGGCTTGAAATGCTATACCTAAGACTATTCAAACTAGTATGGCTTAGTACGTTTACACTATTCATACAAAAAAAAAAAAAAAAGTTGATTTGGTTACCTCTCTCCAATAAACAGATAAACAAATAAGTAAAACCAGTCTGTTCATTTCGAAAACAATAATTGCAAGGCCTTTTAAAACAGCACGAGACTCTCAAGGAAGAAGTAGGTAATCTTTTAGTAAACAATTCTTTTATTATTTTATAGCATTTTTGTATACGCTACTAGAA